CTCTATCTTAACCTTGATAAACCTTCTATGTAGCATGATTTTTCCTCTATTACTTTTAGATTAATAGACTATCCCAAACATTCTATCACAAGCATGCATGCATCGTTGGGATTGGGATTGGCACACGTTAACAAAGACGCTGGCAACTTTTTGGAACTTTGGCTGGACTTTGTATAATTTGTCACGAAAATGTATATGCATAAAAAGACTGTTTATTACTGCAAGAAATAGTTCCTATACCCTAGACGTAATACGTACTTTGCACACTTTACGAAAACAATAAAGAAATTCCTGCACAAACAAAATTTTCTTTATCATTTTAACTCAAATAGTTTCTAAACCGATGATTTGGAAACACACAAAACGTAACGGCAGATACAGGAGTGTCAACGCTTCCTATGCGAACATTAATTTTATATATATAGCTAATGGCCTACAAAAACACTTCCCTAATGAGAAGATATAAGAGGACACTTGATAGTCAAATGGTTATATAGTTAGAGAGCATTTGCAGTTAATGGTTATGGTGTAAAGTCCTACAGTGTATTTAGCAAGGCATACTAAAATAGTTAAATGGCAATAGAGGGCATTTTCAGCTAATGATTATCTAGTAAACTGTAAGGCATTTGGAATTGTTCTGTACTTCAATATTTATTTAGGTACTTGTAAGCCTTGGATCAAACAATGAGAGTGCATGAGAGTTTGCAGTCACGCGACCTTAGTCAGCTGTTCTTAATGCTTTTCCAACACTATCATGTATTCTATTGAAGTTAAAACATAGTTGGAACATTCATCAAACCTTTATTTTGTTAATCTAGAGCTTGAAATGTCCCCTGTAACAATGCGTGACTACCAACACTCAGCAACTCTCAACCTCGTTTAAGTGGGGCTTTATAGTAGTTGAAGCAACTATACAGTATAGCAAAAGGGTATTTCAGTTAATGGTTCTATCTACTATAAAGCATTTAGCTTTAGGAGGAGAAAGTAACAATAGGACACTTAATTGTTAAATCAAGTATATAGGATGAAGGGTTTTTCAGTTAATGGTTATATCTCGTGAAGTGCGTTTCTAATTATTATTGGCTTCATATAAAAGGGTATCAAGAAAATTTATAATTTTTATGTTCTTCAACAATAGAGAGAAAGATGGCACATAAACAATCATATGAGATCTCTATGCCTGATGTGGCTCCTTCAATGGCAGTTTCTACCAAGTCACTTGTTGATAAAGAAAGCAAGAAAAAGTTTTCTATCGGTGAGTTTTTGATGATTCTTGATTGTTTATTTAAGTTAACAAATTCCAACCTGAGTGTTCAATGACTATCACAGATTTGATTGCTTTTTATCACTTTGAATTTTTCCAACAGATATATTAGGCTTCACCTATTTTATAGCAATCACGTGTCACTTGAGTAAATGTACTGTACAAATTATGCCAATATCATTACATATTACTCATACTATAATAATAATGAGTCATTTATATAGCGCACAAACCAAAGTTGTTCTATAATGAGTCATTTATATAGCGCACAAACTAAAGTTGTTGCATTGTACGATATACCGATACAATCGGGCCAACATTTTACTTCCGCAGAAAAACCGTTAAATTTTAACTTTTTTATATCTGAATCTTACTGTCTCTGAACGCAATCGCGTCAATCCTTAACGGCTACACAATCAGTTCAAGTAATACATGCAGCATAAGTGGCCATGTCGTATAAGATTAACAAAAGCGAGCTGAAGTATAGCTTATGATTTGTCTTGATGAAAAACGCATTCTTCGTTAATCTTGAAGACACGAGTTCATTTGGAGAGATAAATTGTTTATGTAAATCAGCGGGATTTTGTATCAGCCGCTTGACAGTTATGAGTGCGCTCTTTGTGTCTTTTCTTCTTGACGTATGAATGAGAATTACAAACTAACGTCTGAACAATTTTCACTTCTTATCCTAGAATTCTGGTGGAAAATAACGATAACCCTTGCTGTTATTATCATTGCTGGTTTTATGATCTACAAAGCTGTCGAAGACAACAACAAAAATTCTTCAACAAAAACCAATCTTTCTTCCGTTTCAAATGAGCAGAAAACCAACACAGATGAAGAAAGCACGGAGGGAAGCATTTTGGACTGCAGAGCTGGATCAATTGTGGATTCCCAAGCGACGTTTACGTATCAGCCATACAACTCTGACAAGGTTTGTTTTCTTAGCATTTCTTCCTAATTTAAACTAACTTTATTTATACTGGATAGCTCTATCAGTTCTAAACTGTTCTCCCTAGAGGTCCAGTAAGGATTATCTCTTATTGATCCAGTGTTACTGCAGGAGGAAACATAAACTAAACTAACTTTATTTATACTGGATAGCTCTATCAGTTCTAAACTGTTCTTCCTAGAGGTCCAGTAAAGATCATCTCTTATTGATCCAGTGTTACTACAGGAGAAAACCTGAACTAAACTAACTTTATTTATACTGTATACAGCTTTATCAGTTCTAAACTGTTCTTTCTAGAGGTCCAGTAAAGATCATCTTTTATTGATCTAGTGTTACTACAGGAGGAAACCTAAACTAAACCAACTTTATTTATACTGGATATAGTTCTGTCAATGAATGAGTACCTAATGCGGACGTTTCTGTTTCTTTTTAGCTTTACACAACACAAGGTTTAGAGTTCAGTTTTGAAGGTATCAAAAAGAAACTGGGAGACGACTCAGGCATCACGGAGCTCCCAGGAGCGCATTACTACTACAACATTCCTAGATGTGAAATTGGTGGCAAGGTCCAGCTTGATAAAGAACCAATCATCCGAGGACCTATAGTGTTTGCTGTTGATGAACAATGCACTAAAGCGCACTACTTCAGCAAAGGATGGAAGGAATATTCTTCAGCGAGGAATATAAATTGTTCTGCTCATGGGAAAGAGGTGACGTCAGTTGAAGAATCCGAATGTTTGGAAGGATCAATAAGAAATTCTAATTCATCATTTGTGTACCTGCCACATGGAGCGAGTAAGGTGAGCAATGATGAACATTATGTGGAAAAGAAGGGATAATCACCACCATTATCATCATAATACCCTCAATATCACCACCGCGATCATCATATTCTTCTACTTTTCATTTAGACATACCGCGCGAGTGGCGTAGAGTTTTCGTTTGAGATGATTGCAAAGAAAATTAAACTTGGATCAAGACTCACGAAACTTGACAAACTGATTGCTTCTACTTCAAGTAAGATATTTTGTCTTTAAAACTTCTTCATTCCCTACGCCGCGAATTGGCTAGGACCATGGCGTCAGCATTTTGATGACGAATTACACGGTTAAGCCAAAATCATAAAAGTCGATCTTCTATTTGTCTCTATTCTGTGATAATAGTTGGAACCCACCTGTACATAAATACACAGCGTATTTTTATCTGATAAAATACAAATAAGTTCGAGCGCCATTAGGTTTCAGCGTTTTGTAATACTGTTATATGTACTACCCTGTATAAATAAAGTCGCTTACTTACTTACTTACTCAGTGTTATTATTCTTCCTCCTCAGAAGTCCATTACTACTACAATATCCCCAGATGTAAAATTGGCGGCGGAATCCAACTCTATAAAGAACCAATCATCCGAGGACCATTAATCTTCGCTGTTGACGAGCAATGTAGTAAGACGTATTACTTCAATGAAGGCAAGGGATGGAGACAGTATATCTCAGCAAGAGATATTACGTGTTTGAGCCATGGAAAGACGAGATGTTTTAAAGATTCATTGGAAGACTCTTACTCCACTTTTAGCTATGTTTCATCGTCAATTTCGAAACGTGTAAGTGGGAAGTTTGTTTTTAGCTATGTTGTAGCTTAGAGTTAGTTCATCAAGACAGCAATAGTAACAATCTTTGACAGGATTGTCAGATGCTAGCACGTGGATTGATGAAGAAGTAAAGTTTCAGGTGGAAGATGTACTTAGGTATTATTTCTCGGTAAATGATGAAGTTTTAATTATTCCTTCTAGGTAAACGCCACAGGCATCCAGTACAATTTCACAAAATTGGTTGAGAAATTAGAGCATTTAACTACAGATTTCAATTTAACAAAGATACCTGAATTGCCATCATCACAAGGAAAAGGTACGATGTACAAATGAAACATATCTTCTAGTTTACCCACGTTCTTAAAACATGGCTATAGGAAACAATATTTCCTGGTTTGCCATTGAAAAGAAACCAGAATATCAACTGTATATGACTATCTTTCCTGCTCTTTTCAGATGCCTCGTACTACTTAAACCTACACAGATGTTACAATGGTGGCCCACATGATCTGGGAGCAACGCCACCAATAGGAGGTGCTAGTATCTTTGCTATCAATGACGATTGCACCAAAGTTTATTACTTATCATCAAGTAGCTACCAATGGAAATCCTATGTATCTGCTGCTAGTATCAAGTGTTTTAATCGCCAGATTTGAGAGGGATGGAACAACAGTTGGTTGTATGAAAATATAAGAACTGATGTTGAACTTTCGTATAATCAACAAGAGCCAAAATGTGACCTTTTGAATTTGACATATCTCTAATCTATTGAAATGAATGAAGCTTTAACTTGATAAGTTATAAGATTTATAGCATAAGCGGCCACTGTAGCATGAATGTTAAATATAGCTTATGATTTGTCTTGATGAAGTCATTCGTATTCTTCAATAATCTTAAAGACACGAATAATAGTTAGTGAGAAAAATTGAACTTGAAGTTTATGTAAATCGGCAGGATTTTTTATCAGATATACAAACTCCTTTACGCTCATGATTTCGTTTGTGTTTTCGTATTAATAATTAATGGTTACAATTGTTGATACAAGTAAAAATCATCATTTATAAATATCAAGTTTAATCTTGTAAATATATCCATACATTTTGTGAAAGTATATTTGAACGTTTGTGTAGAAGTGAAAAGTCATTCGTTTTATGTATGTTATTTTGTGAATCTTGTAAAATAAAATTCTACATATAAAATGAAATTAAAATCGCATTTCGTACTTCCCTAAGCAAAGCTTAATGGTGATATTCGCTATGACTAATTTTTCAGACTATATTCAAAATAAAAACGTTCACAAAAATGAGTGTCCAATGTACATAGGCACAAACAGTTGAAACATTTGGAACAGAAAATTACTTGAAGCATACAGTCTATACATTGACAAACTGCATTTAGCCTGTGTGAGAGCTTTGCTGTAAAGCTAATGCACTTTCGATCTGCAAGCCCGAATTTTCATCAGAGCAAGTTTATAATATTCGCTTTCGACATTTGGCAAGACTAGTTTTCAATTTATGCATTACTTTGTCTTGAATAAAAACCAAAATTTTCACCCACCGTCAAGGAATTGCCATGTTATTTACACGATCTTCAGTTCTGCGACGTTTAAAGAGTCGAGTAAGGATCAACGCGAATAATTCAATCAGTTCAAAAACTGTGATTACTGAAACACCGATCCACAAGCCCAGCTGTCCACCTACGTCAGCTAACAAGTTTATTTCCTGGAAGATAAAAATAATATTATGGTCATGTCAGGTTAGGCTAACCCGGGTGGGTATAACTATGGTGTGGTATGGTGTGGTGTAGTTTGGCATGGTGTGGTGTGGTGTGGTGTGGTATGGCATGGTATGGTCTGGTATGGTCTGGTATGGTCTGGTATGATGTGGTCTGGTCTGGTCTGGTGTGATATGGTATGGTGTGATATGGTATGGTATGGTATGGTATGGCATGGTATGGTATGGTGTGATATGGTATGGTGTGATATGGTATGGTGTGATATGGTATGGTGTGATATGGTATGGTGTGATATGGTATGGTGTGATATGGTATGGTATGGTATGGTGTGGTATGGTGTGGTATGGTATGGTGTGGTATGGTGTGGTATGGTATGGTGTGGTATGGTGTGGTATGGTATGGTGTGGTGTGGTATGGTATGGTATGGTGTGGTATGGTATGGTGTGGTATGGTGTGGTATGGTATGGTGTGGTATGGTGTGGTATGGTATGGTGTGGTGTGGTATGGTGTGGTATGGTGTGGTATGGTATGGTGTGGTGTGGTGTGGTATGGTATGGTGTGGTATGGTATGGTGTGGTATGG